GGTTCCGCCCGCACCTGTGGTAGCAGACCACAGAGGTGGCCTCCTGTGGTCACCAAGGAAACTGCAGTGGGGATGAGGACAGTGACGGCCCAGCTCGGGAGGGGTAGGCGAGAATGCTCTGACGCTGGAAATTTCCAGGATCTGGGATGACAATCAGGTGTAGAAAAGAGATTTTGGGAGTGCAGGGTGAGACCTTGAGGAGGACAGTGTGGTCACCCCTGGGCATTGTGTGGAGGGATCTGAGACCCACAACAGAGGATGAGGCCAGAAAATGGTCCCCTGACAAATGGAGAGAAATAGCAAGAACAGACAGGAAAGGCGTTTCTGACCTGGAGACCTTATGTATGGTATAAAACCTACAAAAAAAAATTTTCTTTTTGAGACCAGAGTCCACTCCGTTGCCCAGACTAGAGTGCCGTAGTGTCAGCCTAGCCACAGCAACCTCAAACTCCGTGGACTCAAGGGATCCTCGCTGCCTCAGCCCCCAAGTAGCTGGGACTACAGGCATGCGCCACCATGCCCGCTATTTTTCTATATATAATTAGTTGGGCCAACTTGATTTTTTTATTTTGTAGAGATGGGGTCTCACTCGTTGCTCAGGCTGGTCTCGAACTCCTGACCTTGATCCTCCTGCCTCCAGCTCCCGGAGTGCTGGATTACAGGTTGAGCCACCTGCGCGGCCTACTAAAAATCTTTTAAAGAGCAAATCTGAAAATGAAGCACATAATGAATAGAAGTGTGATAGTACTTCCCCAATCGCGCACCTACTTTGGAGGAGCGGGGGGGGGGGGAAGGACATGGCAGAGGCTGCAATGGGGCTGCTGAGACTCGCTCTGGCGTATCTCCCAGGGAGGCTGTGGAGAGGGCAGTGGAGCACCCCAGACAGGGCCTGAGGAACCTCACTGGAAACGCAGGGTGGGCACAGGGGAGCCATGGCCACGATCTTTTTCTTTTTTGTTTTTTAGTTTTTTTTTTGCTGTGGCGTTGTTTACACACGCTTACTGTGTCAGTGAAGAGTGTACAAACCGCTAGTCCAGCTGCCCTCACCTGCCTCACTCAGCAACTCCCACTCTCAGACATTCACATGCCCAAGACAGGACTTTCCACATGTGGGAGGTGTGGGCAGCCAATACATAGCAGCAGCTCCAGAACCCAGTGACCTTATTTGAAATGAAATTGATCCATAAAAAGAAAGACAAGTATCTGTTTCATCTGCAGGATCCAACCACCCACCCATCGATCCACTGAACCATCCCTGCAGCAATCCCCCATCCATTCATCCTATCCTCCACCACTGTCCATCTGTCCACCCACCATCGATCCACTGAACCATCCCTGCAGCAATACCCCATCCATTCCTCCTATCCTCCACCCAACTGTCCATCTGTCCACCCATCCATCGATCCACTGAACCATCCCTGCAGCAATCCCCCATCCATTCATCCTATCCTCCACCCAACTGTCCATCTGTCCACCCACCCATCGATCCACTGAACCATCCCTGCAGCAATCCCCCATCCATTCCTCCTATCCTCCACCCAACTGTCCATCTGTCCACCCACCCATCGATCCACTGAACCATCCCTGCAGCAATCCCCCATCCATTCATCCTATCCTCCATCCAACTGTCCATCCTGCCACCCACCCATCGATCCACTGAACCATCCCTGCAGCAATCCCCCATCCATTCATCCTATCCTCCACCCAACTGTCCATCTGTCCACCCACCCATCGATCCACTGAACCATCCCTGCAGCAATCCCCCATCCATTCATCCTATCCTCCACCCAACTGTCCATCTGTCCACCCACCCATCGATCCACTGAACCATCCCGTCAGCAATCCCCCATCCATTATCCTATCCTCCATCCAACTGTCCATCTGTCCCACCCATCCATGATCAGCTGAACATCCACTGCAGCATCCCCCATCCATTCATCCTATCCTCCACCCAAACTGTCCATCTATCCACCACATCGATCCACTGAACCATCCCTGCAGCAATCCCCCTCCAATTCATCCTATCTCCACCCAACTGTCATCTGTCCACGCCACCATTCATCTGGCCATGGCTCCCCTGTGC